ATCTCATTTTAGTCTTTTGTCTAAGATGCGCTGTAATGATCTTTTGTAACTTAACCCCAAGAGAAGGTGGGTTTGAACTTAAGTTAAAATTTTGATGATTCAAAGACTTCCGCTGTAATAGTTTAAATGGTTTTAATTTAGCCATTACTTTGGTGTATTTATTAAGGAAATGTCTCATAATACGTAACATCTCTCTTGATAAAAATGAGGACGTTACATTTTATAATATTGTCGTCCTATAAAACCCATTTTGTTGTAGTGCGACATAAGTTCATAACATACAAAGAAAAGCAAATGAGGGAATACAAAATATATTTACGAAATATGATATTTTAACCATATCTCCCTCATCCAAGACGGTTTTAAACGATGCAAGATTTCTTTAGAAAGCTAACAGACGAGTCTATAACTTTTGCGTTTTGAATTTTGATGTTTACTTGAATCAACGTCGAAGTTGGAGTAAATATGTCGATAGCAAAGCATTTCAAGTTTCCAAATGAGCAACATGGTTATTACACATTTTCTTATCAACGTCACAATATAACACCAGTACGGTGCAAATTCTGGGGTTAGAAACATTAAGGCGGAGAGGATGGTCGTATTCTCTCTTTCTCGTTCATTTTCTCCATTTGTTCTTCAGAATCTTGTTCAATAAAAGTTATTAATTAATGATATAAGGATAAGCACATCTCGGGATCATTCAAGTGAAAGTCCATGTGTGATTCGCTTTTAATTGATTTCCATCGGTTTGTTTTATTTGAAATTATAAAACTACGATTGTTTATGTATGAACAATATGTGACATATTGGTGGTGTTAAATGATAAAGTTTATGAAATTTCATATGTTTTTAAACGTTTATTTGTATGAATTGATTGACAATACTTAGATAGTCATCTGGTATATCTCGACCGAACACGGATCACGTTGAATGTTCTATTGATCTTTTGTTTGTATTTATTTAAACAATTTATGTGGAATTAGATAGATTATTTAAATTAGTTGGAATTAATTAAACATGTGTTAGTAATGATTAAGGATGATCTTGGTATTCCAATATCGTAAAATCTCTTTTTTTATTTAGGATTAAATGCATGAAATAAAAAATTACTTTCATAAATTTCTTTATTATATTATTTACATTCATTTTTAATTTGTTACAACAATGTACTTTCAAATTATTTTTTTATGACATCGTACTTTGAAAAATCTACTTATTATAACAAT